GACTGTAAAAAAAAAAAAGAGAGATACCCAATGACCGACGGGCCTATGAGAAGATGCTCACCTTCGCTGGTCATTCAGGTGGCGAAAATGTGATCTTTTGCACACGGCTTAAGGGCGTGTAAGTGGTACAACCAGTTCAGAAAACATGTTTTGGATCAGGGGTTTGGACCCCCAGCCTGCGCTCTCCCTGCTGGTGATAGAAACGTGTCGGGTTCTGCGCTCTGGGAACCGCTGCGTAAGAAGGGTGGTTCAGGGTCCCAGCAGGGAACAGGCGCCGCTGCCCAGCAGGGTGGCAGGGGAGTTTAGGAGAGGGCCGTGTCTCCCAGGCTGCACGCAGGGGCTGGGCGGGCCGCTGAAGTCGGCGCCGTGGCCGGCAGGACGTCTCAGCGTCACTCCCAGGGGACCTGCAGCTGGCGAGGCTCCCCTGGGTTACGGGGGCTCCCACTAGGGGGCGCGGTGAGAGGGCCCCTGCAGCTGGGCCCACCGCCATGTTGGGTCCTTCATGCCAGGGGACCAGCAGGCAGACAGGAATTGCTCTATTGACATTTTGGGCCAGGCCATTCTTTGTGGCGGGGACTGTCCCGTGCACTGCGCCAGGGTGGCTGCCCCCCGGCCTCTGCCCCCCCATCACCAACTGTGGCAGCCAGAGGTACCTTCAGACGTTGCCAAATGAACCTCAGGGGACGAAATTGCTCCTGGGCGAGAACCGCCGACTTAGGGTGTCATCCTTAACACTGGGGACAAAATCCCAGCTTTGGACAGACAAACCTGAGCTGTAGCAGGGGCCATGCTCCTGCCGGGCAGCGGGTGCACGCGACCCTGGGAGCCCGGGGCGGGCCTCAGGCGGCTGCTTCCGTTGTCCGCGGTGACTTCGCCAGGCACCCTCAGCGAGGGGGCGGGGGCGGTGGGGGCGGGGTGGGGCGGGGCGGCGACTGCTTCGTAGGGCTGTCCCGGGGCAGGGGCAGGGGCCAGCGAGAAGAGCCTTGTTTAGGGACGCACCCATGAGAGCGCAGCTTTGGGGAAGGTAGGGCAGGGAGGGACGTGGGGGGAAGCCCGCGTGCGTGCACACAGCGCTCACACTCACAGAAGCTCCCACATACATAGGTTCCCACATACAATGGCTCACATACACATAGATGCTCACACCCACCCACAGGGTCTCATACCCACCGGCCCAGACACACACAGGCTCAGACACACACTGGTTCTCTCTCTCTCTCTCTCTCTCTCACACACACACACACACACACACAGAGGCTCACACTCCGCAGTCCCAGCCCTGAACAGCGCCTCCCGCTCCCTGCCACCCTGTGACCCGGTTCCTGAGGAGGAAGGCACACCGGGCCTTTGGCACTTGGCCTGCCCCCTCCTCCAGCCCCTGGCCCCCGATGAGTCACAGCGTCCTGTTCATTCAACCACTTTGAGAAGCTGGGTCCCTCCCAGGCCATCCCTGGGCAGCGGGGCGTGGAGCGGGGGCGGCCCGGGAGAGAAGCACGGGGCCCTGACGACCGCGCCGCACGGGATGGAGGGGGGAGGGCAAGGCCCGCAAACCACGCGTCTCGGTCCCTGCGGGGCCGCCAGCAGTCCGCGCCGGCAGGCACTGGCCCTTCCTTGTGTTGGGTGGTACCCCCACCTCAGGGCCCCAGCTGCCCGGACGCCGATCTGCCTGGGCGCCCGCACCCCGCAGAGCGGGGCCCCAGCACGCCTCCCACGGGCGCCGCCGCAGGAGCTCAGGATGGAGCCGGAGCGAAGTCGTCCCCCGAAATCCCGGGACGGGGCCTTGCCCTGAGGGCTCCGTGAGGCCCGAGGAGAGGCAGAGCGAGAGCCGGGCCCTCCGTGCTGGCTTCGTGGGGTGGCTGCGCATGTTTTTAAGGCAAAGGGGAAAGTAGAACGTTTAAGCGGTCAGAAACGTTCAAAACTCGGTGAGCTTTCACCGCTTCCCGAAGCAGCTTGGACCCGGTGACTTACAGAGGCCTGGACGCAACCCCGTCCACAGTGTCCCCTCGCCAGGCCAGCTGCCCGCCACCTCGGGGCCTCTGCAGTGGGCCTGGCCTCCCACCTGCTTGGACACAGGCCCCGGGGCGGCCGCCCACCTGCGCCCGGCCCTGAGCCCAGGGAGGCGGCCGTGGGGGCCGTGTGTGGGGGCCGCGGGGCTGCAGGGGCGGGAGGGCCCGTGGGTGGGGAGGACGAGAGAGGCGAGGGCATCTGGGTCGGCCCCTCCTGCCGAGCTGTCGCTGGCAGCGGGCCGTCGGCGCCCCGGGCGCGGGTGCCCCTATCCGTGCGGTCATTCCACATGCGAGCCCGCCTAGAATTTGGGCGATGGCGGAGTGGCTCTAGGGTTGCCCTGCCAACTTGGAAGAAACAAAGCCCTATTCATGGCAGACCAATTCTGACAACCGAACAAAAAGGCCAGTCTCGTCTTTTCCCTGGGCTGCCGAGGAAAGGCATTTGCAGACTCGGGCGTTTTTTGTTTTCAGCGTCTGAAGCACTGCCGGGCTCCCTCCGGCCCGGCATCACGGTGGGCCAGAGCGGACTCCCGCGGCGCCGGGGCGTGGGAGAGCAGGTCCGCGCGCAGTGCTCCCCACGCTACCTCCCGACCGCAGGAGACGCAGGCCCAGTGGACGGCAGGGCCGTTCAGTCCAAACCACGCTGCCCAGCAGTGGGACAGCTGCGGCTGCTTTCTTCATTACAGGCTGTATTTGAAACCGCCAAAGGTTAACCCTTTGGTCACCTTCGAAAGTTTTCCAAGCGTGTCCAAGCCCAGCGTCGGCCCTGTGCGGGCCGTGCCCATCGGGGCCCTGTGACCGTGAGGAAGGGGCAGCAGGCGTGGTGCCCCGCGCCCCGGGGCAGAACAGCGGCTCCGGGCTCAAGGAAGGCGGGCTCAGCACAGAGCGCGTACTGGAGGCGGCGATCGCGCAGGGCGCTGTGGGAAGCCGCGGCCCACTGCTCATCTTTAGAAACCAATCCCCCGTTGCTGCCTCAGGCACACACCGCATTTCCGCCCACGCTCCGTGTGACCGGAAACGGCTGGAGGCCCGCATGGCGTCTGCTAGAAATCAGGATTTTACGGCAAGGCGTCCAGCAGGTTTATGGCTGCCAGATGGAGCTGGGATTTCTGGGCCATTCCCCTTTTACGTACTCCCTGCCAGCCTCGCCGTTTTCCAATCGTGTTGTTCAAGGGCCAGGGGGTCCCTGCGGAGGGGCGTGGGTCCCCGTATGGATTGCCATGCGCAGGGCGCAGGCCGGCTGTCCCGAGAAGCCCTCCGCAGAGGCGGGGAGCCGGCCGTGGATCACGAGAACATGACTAACTCCATCCTGGCTCCTGCCCACTGGCTGTCAGGTGACTCATCGCTGGAAAGGGGCCTGGTTCCTTTCATCCAGAATGAAACCCTTCCTTCCAGCCCCTCCCAGGAGGAAAGCGTGGGGCCTGTGGGGAAACACGCGCCCTGCCCAGGCCGCACACATGATACGCGCGCCCAGGGTCCTTCGTCCCTCCACAGGACTTCTGAAGTAGTCCTGGCTCCCCACCATGTCAACTGGCCCAGGGGAGTGTCGTCAAACATTTAGAGCAAGAAAATTTCCACCCTGGTTTTAGCTTCTCTTTAGGAGTTTAGATAAAGTTACACTCTTTTCCACTACATTCTGAAAGCTTCCTTCTCTTACAGAAGCAACATCGGAGGAAGGACATTACTTTGCTTAACCATAAAAAGGTTAACCCATCAAAAAGGCAAACCTCCGGCTCCCGCAGACTGTGGCACTGTCTGCGGCTCCTGGGGAGGCACCAGCCCAGAGCTCGCTGACGAGGGTGTGTCTACTCCCACTGTGCGCGGCTCCGACTCCGGCTCCTCCGCAGGGAGCTGCCAGGCCCTGGACTTCCCTGCCTTGCAGTGCGCTTTCAGTGCAGCTTGTTTCGCTCCACCGCTGAGCCACCCTGGCCAGGGGTACCGGCAGCTTGTTTGCTTGTTTTCAACACTCGCCACGCAACAAACGCCGCAGACTCCTGGGCAGCCGCTTGCCTCTCGTCAGGCACCTGCCCCTCCTGCCGGGGCTGCTGTGGGTGGGGGGAGGCAGAGGGCAGGCTGCTGCGGGCTGGAGTTTTGTTCTTCCTACTTTTGCTACAGAGGACGGAGACGAGGTGGGCGGGCGGGGGTGGGGGGGCAGGAAATGGGCCCTAGGGCGGCCAGCACCCGAGCACCTTCAGCACGTGGTCACGTAACGTGGCTGTGCCAAGTCCTCTCGCTGTCTGAGCCCGCCCAGACCCCCGCTGCCAGACACACCTGTCACGTGTGGTCATGCGCGGCTAGTCCACACTCCACTGTGCTCAAGTCAGATACACGTGGGATTTGAGTCAGCATGAAAAATGCAAAATTCTTCATATTCTAGTGTTAGTGACATACTGAACTGAAAATATTTTGGACTGGGTTGAGTAAAACGTTAAAATTAATTTCATGTTTTCCTTTTTCACTTTATTGTGGCTACTACATCTAGAATTCCGTACGTGACGCCTCCTCCTGCTGCTGGATAGCGTTGGTCTATCCAGTTGCAAAGCTCCTCTTTGCTTTGAGTCAAAACTGGCCTTCGCCCCCCTGCCCCCGCTTCTGCCCATGGAAGCAGCGCACAAGCCCGCCGCGGCCCGCCTTCCCTTCCCACGCCCACCAGTGTCCCCCCACCTGCCGGCAGACACTGCTTCTGTGGCGTTAAAGGTTACTTATCAGAACTTAGGAACGACACAATGATGGCTGGACACTTTAATAGCCTGTGGACCTCGGACGCCCCGGGACGCGGCCTTGACGCTATGGGGCTGGGGCGCCTGGCCCCCCACTGTCGTGGCCGAACCAGAAGAAACGCCAGTCCCAGGCCCGTCCTTGGAACCTTTGGTGAAAAGCAAAAATTCCTCGAACAGACCTCTTCGCGCAAGTGAAAACATGAATCACATAACACACAGGTTGCTTCTCTTCGGTTAGGAAACTTACTTTGAGAGACAACAACTAGAATGTCAACAGAAAAAACAGGAGAGTGAAAATTCTAGGAACTGCCTTAGATGAAACAGTTGAAGAATTCAATTAAATATTTATTGAACAAATGCAAAATAAATGAACTCAGCGGTGTTTTAACCGGCAGGCACACCCACCAACTCCAGACGCTCAGAGGGCCACCACACAGAAACACACGGCTCGCTCAGCCTTTTCCCGCAGGGCAGAACCGGAGCCGAGGGGGAAGCACAGGCCGCCGACAGGCCGCGGGACGGCGGGAGAGCGTGTCTCGTGCACGCCCCACGGACGCTCCCGCCCCGGAAAGGAAGCGTCGCAACGCAACTCTTCTCTGGAGCACCCGGCACCGCCCCGCGCCCGCGGCGGACCCCGCAGGCCGGCGGTGGGGGTGCCGCTCGCTCTCCGCGAGGGGCCTACGCTAGCAGCGCGGCTCGCTGGGGGACAGCTCCTGTCCTCGCCTGCGTCTCGGCATCCCGGGCCAGTAACCTGCAGGAGGTAAGGAGAGAAGAGGGCATATTCTCCAAAGAGGGTACAGCAGGGTCACCCCCAGCTCAGACAGTCTGCAGGGACGGTCCTCCTCGAACCCCAGGCGGGTCCCTGAGGCTGTGCACCTGTGGTGGGGGTGGCCGCGAGGTGGGCGCAGGCGGGACAGACAGCGCCCAGCTCTGTGCACGTGAGCAGGGAGCTGCATGTTTGAGTCCCCAGGAAACAAACTGACCGTATCGTCCTGAGGGCTCCACCAAACTGTCACGTGTCCCCAAAGGAGAACTGCTTCAGCAACTATCCAGCATGATGTTTAAGGACAAAATATGTATAGTGTGCTTTATATTACATATGTATTTTATCACATGCTCAGTACAGAATGCTGAGGTGCTTAATCCATCCGATAAATTCAAAGTACAAAGTCTACATCATCTCCACGTTCGTCGGGACACAGGGCGCTGCAGGCGACCTTGAGCCGGACTGGAGGTCAGTTCTCGAGGAAAGCCACGTAGTCGGTGAGCCGGGCCAGCTGCTGCTCGTTGGGGATCGGTGGGACCGGGGCCGGCTCTGTGCACAGAGAGTCGCAGTGTCAGTGGCCAGGGGCACGCGGCGCCGGCTCCCCCACCGGGCCCCCAGCTTTTGGGTTAATAACAAGAAACTTTCCCAGGTTTGCCCTGATTTCGGGCGATTTTGAAAAACAAGACAAGAAGCCTTTATCGCTCCTGAGCAGTTTTCCCAAACTGGGAGTGAAGCCACGCCCTGTTTGTTGCTGCTGCTGTGCCTTCCCTGTGAAGAGAACTGGCTCCTCCTGGGGACAGCCCCACCCACGGGCCTCCAAGTGCTCACCAGGCGGCGGGCACTGCTCTGCGCTCTAGGGCAGCGCCACACCGCGACGGACGAGCGCACCGAGAGCCCCTCGGCCGAGGAGCGACATCCTCGTGCTTCCGCCAGCACCTGGCCGCCTGGGTGCCGCCCCCGCTGGCCACGGCGCCCCCTGGACAGGTGTGCAGGGGACCCGGGGGGTGGCCCCCAGGGCTGGGGCTCGGGGGCTACATGGGGAGCCCGCACAGGCCGTGTAGCCGGGGCGGGGGGGGGGGGGTCACCGTAAATACCAAGAATGGAATTTAACCTCTGCACAAGGTTAGAACTAAGAAAAACAGACACAAACTGCAAAACAGCTGAGACCAGCGAAGCCCATTTGAAATGAACACATGAAAACAACGTACCTGACAGAGGGATAAACCTGTTAAAGGAGGCGTCCAGCGTCCCTGCAACTGAACCAGCAAAGGGGAAAGTCCGGTTTACAGCCGTCGTCACAAAGGACTTCCCTGGCAGCGCGCACTGCCGGTGCCCCACGGGGCGACCGCGTGCCCTACCCTCCCAGGCTCCCCTGCGACCCGGCCTGGCGGCGCCAGGTCCCCCCGCCCCCCGGGGCCGAGCCCTGAGATCGTGCAGAAGCTCGCGGTGGGGCCCCAGGGTGTCAGCGCAGGGCCGCGGGGCAGGGGGAGGGCGTCCGCAGCCTCTGGGCAGGGCTGGGCCGCCCGACTCGGAGGGTGCAGGCCGCCGGGTGCCTTGTTTGGAGGCGTCTGCGTGCTGTGCGTGCAGGGGGACAAGGGCGCCATCGGAGCTTAAAAACAGGCACGAAGGACGAGCACAGTTAGAAATGGCCCCGAGTAAAGGGCTGGCAGGTGAGTATTTCGTAAAAATTGAGTTGTGACAAGAGTTACAAAACACCCACATAAAAATCTTTTTAATATAAAAGGTAAATTTTTAATGACTAAGGGAAAACTAGGTTACCTCTCAGAGCTCCGCACACCCCCCACCCCCCGCCCCCGAGTGTCTACCCGTCTGCGTCTCCCAGAGCGGCCACCTCCACTGCGTGAGGAGAGCAAGACTTTGCACGCGTCCCTCCCGCCCACGTCTGCATCTGCGATGCTGTCAGGCTCTCGCAGGCGGGGGAAGAGCGCCACCTACCTGGCTTCTTGGGCATCACCATCCTCGTGGCCGAGTCGGCCTGCCACCCTTGCTCCAATACACCTAGGGCGGGCGTGGGACACAGAGGTGAGGGCAGGAGTAGGGTGGCCGCGCTGGCGCGGGAGGCCTTCCCAGGGACGCACGCTACAGACCGCGTTCGCACGGGGACTTGGCTCCGGAATGCGCCTGCGGCGTACTGAGGCTTCACGTCCCTCCCCACGGCCGGCGGAGCCCTCGCGAGTGACAGGGAAGCGATGGTGCTAGGGCAGCAGCTCGCTGCCCTGCTGGCAGCCGGGGGCCACTGCCAGGTGTTCCAGGGACGGCCGCCGCAGCCTGACGGCTCTCTCGAGTGGGACGCACAGCCGCGACTTGACAGGCGTGGGAGGGGACGCGGGGGGCCCGGTGACTGCCGCAGGCCACACGGCCAGCACGGGTGGCACCACAGCTCTACCCAGCATGGACTCTGGGCACAACATTTGTTAGACAGCGAGCTATGACCCCTTTCCAGAAAGAGGCCAACTGATACGCGTCCGTACGAGGACGTTTCAGTCCGAGTTACTCTGTGCTACGCCCTGGACATTTCAGGGCAGGGCGTGGTGCCCTCCACTTGGTTGGAGAATAAAAACGCCAACCGCTGTAAAGTGGTGCCCGCCCGCTGTCCCGGACACAGGCAGAGGTGCGGAAGCACATCTGGGGACCGGCGGGCAGCTGCAGGGTGAGCGCCAGGGCCCAGGGACCGGGAGGGAAGGGGCCCTGGGCTGAGCGTGCCTGCTCCACGCGGGGGACAGTGGGGTTTCTCAGCGAGGGGGGGGCCGCTGTCCCCCTCCACTAGCTGGGTGGTGCTGGCCGCGGGGGGGGGGCACATGCTGTCCCGCCTTCCTGCCGCCGGGCGCCCCTTTTCAACGGACATGCACAGCAGAACCCCTCCACCTCCCCCGTCCTTGGAAACAAGAAGCAGGCCAACGGCACCTTTCACAGCCTCCTCCACGGGGAGCCCCACGAAAGCGGCGAAGTCGTCGGCGACGATGGAGGTGTAGGCCTGCGAGACCAGGGCGAAGGCGCGCCGCCTCGTCGCCTCTGCGGTGGGGGCAGAGGGGTGGCAGTGACCAGGGGGCCGGCGTTTTCAGAACGCGCCATTAAACGACACAGCTGTCCTTGTCTGAAACCTATACACAAGCCCAGGACAGCCCAAGGACTTCTGTTCTAGCCGGCAGAAGGCGCTCAAATATTGCAGAAGGCACAAACCTATGTCTTACATTTCCTCTGAGACAAAAAGTCCTTCTCAGACGACAGTGAGAATTAGAGATAGAAAAAGGTTAATACACATGAGACTGAAAGCCTTAGAATGTTTCATTTAAACAGATTTATGTATTTGTAAGGCAGGTTTTTAAACGGCTCATGGATTCCAGTGACAAACGTCGAGCGGACGGAGCGGAAAACACCGACTGTGCCACTCGAGGTCCCCCAGGAGGGCCCCACCCAGGTTCCAGGGCCCCACGGCAGACCCGCGGCCGGAGCGCGGCCCCGCATTCCCGCCCACTGTGCTCCCGCCTCGCTCAGCGTCAAACCCTAAGGTCGAGGCCTCAGAGTCGGGCCGAACAGGAGGGGCTGCCAGCCGACCCGGCAATAACTTAGTCCTCGACTGAACAAACCCTCCTCCCGACACAGGGCGCGTGGGTGGCGTCTCCCTGGGCTCACGCTCCTGCTCGGAAGGGAGGACCGAGGCAGGCGGTGCGAAGAGGAGCCCCGAGAGGAGCCGGCTGGCCCGCCTCCCTGCCTGGGGAACACCCTGGATTTTACCTCCCAGCTAAAGGGCAGGTGGGTACGAATGGAAGAGCCCATGACACACCGAGGGTCCTCCCCATTCCCAGGACGTTGCCAAACAATGACACTGGCCCCTCTGGCACCTTTTGCTCCAAATGAGCCCCTGGCTTTCAGGTGAGCCCCCCCGGCCCCCCCAGCTGTGGCTCACGTTGCCGTGTCCCCCAACACGCCCTCCATCGCTGCGGAAGGAGCCAGCAGACCCGAGCCCGCGTCCCACCGCGACCCCGCTGTCCGACGCCGGGCAAAGGCGCCAGACCGGTGTACACAGGCTGTCGCCACGGGACCGAACCAGGTCCGCGAGAGCCCATGACCGCGGACGGAGGGCGAGGCTATTTCCTGTCCAAATGCCCCAGCATCCCACACTGCCGCCTGCCCGCCCGCCACCGCTCGTGCCTGCTGTTCGGAGACTCACACTGTTCCAGGATCCCGAGAACCAGCAGGCCGCGGGAGCGGCCCCCGGGGCGCAGGCCCCTCCCGCAGGACCGAGGCACCAGGGGAAAAGGGGCGAAGGCTCGAAAGGAGGCGCTGTCTGGAGTTATGAAAGAGCGGTGCTGGGAGACGGGAAGCGAGCGCTGGGGGGCGGGGGCGGGGGCGGGGCGGGCCTCCTCGCGCCGCAGCAGCCGGCTTGCAGTCTCCGGGCATCTAGGCACCTGACTGATTTGTTATGAAGTCCGGCAGGGGGAAACGCCTATCAAAGGCTGAGGTTGGCCAAGCTCAAAGCACAGTCTCTACCTTCAAAATCGGGTTTAAAAAAATTCGGACCCCTCCCTTGACCTTAAGTGTCACAAGATTTCACTTTAGCAGCAAAAGACCCTGGCAAGAGCCGTTCCAGCCCAGCATTAAATGAGAGGATGGTGAGGCCCAAGCCATCGACGCCATCGCCGCGGCAGGACGTGAAGCGGCAGGACGTGAAGCGGCGGGGCTTGGAGAGCCGCCGGCCCCGCCCCGTTCGCCTGGCACCGAACACCGGCTGCCTCGGCCCCTCGCCGCAGGCGACACTACCTCTGAGCGCCTCCATGACCGGCTGCACCGCCTCGGACCACTGGTGAGCGCTGATGGCCGCGTAGGTGCCAGGGAAGTCTCGCTGCCAGATCCTCTGTCCCACTGACCAAATGGCCCCAAGTTCAGAATTTGCCTGCAAGCGATACCGTTATTGCCTTGGAGGACGTTCACTGTGCAGATTCACCAACAACCGTATCGGAAAACATGATGCGGCATTTCTTTTCAGAGATGTAATTACTTTTCAGCTCAGTACCATCCAAAAGGTTTTTAAATGCTGTGAACAGCACAGTCTATTCATGTTTGACATAAATATTTATTGTAACAGCAAATTAAGACGTGAGAATGCAGTCCCAAAATAGTACAGAACGAAGCCTGTGAATTATCATAAACATTGTTTTTAAAAGATACGCTCACATCTTGTTAATATATATGTAATATGGAGATCGCATACCACGTTTTGCCACGTGTATGTGTTCCTGTGTACACTGCCCACCCATGTTTTTGGCCCAGACTTTCAGGGAAAAAATCTTTTGTTTTAATTTTTTAACGTAATTTTTAAATTTATATTTAGAAACAAAACCAATTATCATATTCCAGGGTATTATTTTGCATGCTGATATCGTTACTGCTTTCTAGAATTACACTTTCAAAGTGTAAGCATAAATAAAAACATTAAAAACATTCACAGAGATACCAAATTAGGAATACCCACATATAATGCACATCCTTATTTTTTCCTCAGAAATTTGGTCAAAAAGGTACGTACTATCCACGGCCAAATATGGTATCACTGATATACAATATAAATGCATTTCTTCAGGGCAAAAATAATAGCAGAACGGTTCCCGACACAGAGTGTGGGTCTCGGCCGCCGCCCGAGGACGAGGCCGCGCCCGCACAGGAGGGGCCGCGCTTCATCCAGGCCTCTGAGCCGCAGGGGCGCTACCGGAATGAGGGGGACGGAGGGAGCGTAAAAATGCTGCCAACCTGACCTGCCGCCGAATGTCGACACTGAGCAAGAGTGTCGGTGGATTCTTGGTAGTCTCCGTAAATGTTTACAAAATTCACTTCGCATTTATGCTCGACACAGTGAACCACTGAAGTAAAAATTCACTTCATTCCGCTTCGGAAAAAACTTGTGAGAGGTAATTCCATCTAATCTCCCACCCAAAACAGGACACTTAAAATCTTATTTAGCAAAAGAGAATCTTAACGCTGTGGGCAGCCCTCAGTTTTAGGGCGTTCCTATAAATATAAACATCACTGGGTTCAAGATAAATACGTAACAGCAAACTGTGAAAATCAGTTAAAAAACAACAGAGAACTTTTCTTGGAACTGGCTCAGTTGTTTAGCTTGTTATGTGAAACTTCCATGAAATGTCTCGAGAAATCTGATCAGTAAAAGCTGGGCATGGATTTCTATACCATCCAAGGGAAATTAAAATTTCTGCTTAGAGGAACATGCAGATCTACTTTTAAACTTTACTACCAGTTTAATAACAATTTCTGTGAACCACATGACAAAGAAAACAAACTTATGGGGTGGCCGTTGCCATGGCTGTCACCCTTGTACTAAAGCAGCAAACAGAAAGGGTACTCACGGATTTCAGAGCGGGCGGTATTCTTTTCCAGAGATATCGTGCATTGTTCCTGATTTGCATCCCCCAAGAAAAAGCAAGCAATAAAAAAAAAACAAAAAACCCTCAGTAAATGTTTGAAATTCTAGATCCCAATACATACATATAGAAACATACTTTAAAATACTATAGATAAATAGGGAATTTTAGTTTCATATGAATTTGTCCAGGGAAAGTAATAGTAGCTTTCCAGATTAACAGACAGAAAATAGTTTGGTTTAACCAAAGTAACATTTTGGCATTATAATCATCTTTTCATTGATGATCCAGATCTTAAGGCAATAAATAGTACATTAAAAACACAAAGCTTTACACAGAACTGCGCAAGCAGTTTGCCTGTCTATGGAAACAGGCCGCCGTCTGCACTGCCAAGGCTCGGGCGGCCCGGGGCGGTGCACACAGTCCTCCACGCTCTTCCCGGAACCGCGACCCCTCCTCCCACGACTGGGCCTGAACTACGACACACACAGGACAGCGAGATTATAACAAATAAAACAGGTAATTCATATGATGTGTGTGTAATGAAAATCTTGGTTAGGTTTTCTAAAGATATGAAAAAAGTTCAGAAGAATTTAAAGAAACATATAACAGTAACCATCGATGGGTTGTAGAACTATGAGACCCTCTTGTTCCTTTGCACAGTTATGCTTTCTGACATTTGAACATGAATTAGGAATAATTGACAAAAAAACTTTAAAAAAATTTCATACATGCTGGTAATAAATTCCTCTTAGCTTTCTCAATCTTCCCTTTCGATTTCTCTTGGTCTACTGATTACACATAAGGTTAAGTAAATGAAGGTCACAGAAAAGTTTTATAGAAAGCCAAAAGGTCAACAGAATTAAAGGAATTTCAAAGTAACATTGCAGTTTCTCACGACAAACTGGAGTGTTTTTTAGAAAGTATATGTAAAACGAGTGTATTTTAAAATACCTCAGCGTAACTGTAATTTACGATTCATTGTTTGAGATGAATGTATTAAGTATTATAATAAAAGAGGCAGCTCCTTGTGCCTGTGTTGCAGGGGTGATACTTCGGCGCAGACCCATGTTGGCATAACCTTGAAGCTGCCGCTTTCAGCAGCAGGTAAAAGGTACTTACATGTCATTATGGAGCAGATACAGAGCCAGGAGCTGCCCATACACTGGGGGCGTGGCGATTCCCCCAGGAGCCTGCAAGGCCAAGATGAAAGAGAAAAACCTCATTTACACTTCTATTAAAACCCAGAACATCAAGTTTAGATCTGTCAGTGGCTTATCATCCTCTGGGCCTCATGTCTCTATAAAATCAGGACTATTTACACGCGATCCTCTTCCCAATTCTTAAATTCTTATACAAGCGATCTATGGTAAGAAACAAATACTTCCAATAGATTCCCAAACCATTATGATTCTGCTCAGTATATAAAACATGTTAAGTATCTAAGTAAATGAATATTAAACAGAAAAAAACATCATAGTTGAGTTACAGGCACCTATAACCTCATTCAACTGCAATTCATTCAAAAAGCATCTATCAAGTGCCTATTAATAAGATGCTGTTTTTGGCTGTTTTCTCCTTTGGCTAACTCACTTTTTTATACATGCTTGTTAAATGCCTTTCTAAGGAAAAACCTCAACTTTAATAGCCACATGACGTAACTTTCACTCCTCATTGAAGACAAATGGTTAAGCTCCCCTGCTAACATTATGTTCTTATGCGCTAATAAAAGGTTCCAATGGCTACATCTTCGGTCTGTGCCCGTGCGCACGCGCGCCTTGAACAAAATCCACAAGCCCCCGCCACCCCCACAACCGGGGGAAAGGTGTTCAGTTTAATGCGGGCAGCAAAGGGCGGGTAAGGAGCAAGTTGCACAGAGCTCTCAGGGTCACTCACTTAGGACAAACAACAAGCTCCCGGCGAGTCGGGACGATCGGGCCGGGTCCTTAACCTCCAGAGCAGGCCGCGGCGCCCGACTCCCGGCGCCCAGCTCCCGGCGCCCCGCCGGCGCCCGCCCCCAGCCCCGCCCCGAGGCCCCAGGCCCCGTTACCCTGGAGACCGGCGCCGCGGGGCTTACGGAGACCCCGCGGTTTCTCCCGCGCTATGCGAACGGTTACCTCGAGCTCCTGGTTCTCGCACTGATCCAGCAATTTTTTGAAGCTAAAGGCACTTTCTGCCATCACGGCGACGGGCATCTTCCCAGCTGGTCCCGCCGCCGCACCTTCCCGGTAGTCAGACCCCAGACTGTCCCCCGGGGCGTCGCGCCCGTGATGACGTAGCCGCCGCCGCGTGTGCCCCCTGCGCGGGCGCAAAGTCGGTTCCGGCGCGCCGTAGGACGTCGCCGAGGCCGGCAAGGGGGACTCTGCCGCTCTGGCCGGCGCTCTCGATGCTCTGGAGGACTGGCCGGGCCAAGGGGGAGTTCCTGCGCCGAGTGCGCGCGTCCGAACCGTGGGAGAAAGGGCTTTAGGGCATGTTTGAGGGCTCTTCGATGTCTCTCCTCTTTGGGGCAAAATTTAAGGGTTCAAAACGGGGCTTTCGTTCTGACCCCAAACGTGCTCCTTCAGTCCCGCCCGTCTCTGGAAAGGGCACGCCGTCCTTCCACGTGGGGGACCCCACCCGAGAGGAGCCGCCCGCGCCCCCGACCCTGCCTCAGAGCTCGCCAGACCTGCGCGCCTGCCCCCCGCAGGCAGCTCCACGCAGAGCCACTGCGGCCACAGCCATCAGGTCGCGTTACCCTCCTGCTCAAAGCACTAAAATCCAACGTCCTTGCCTTCGCTTACGAGGCTTCGAGGTCTAATTCCCACGCCCTCCGCCTCGCTCCGGGCCCCCGGAGTTTTACGCGCAGTCATCGCTGGCCGGCATCGCGCTGGGTGTTTACCTGTTGACACACCGGCTTTGCCGCTCTCGCCCGACCGCCAGGAAGGAGGCTTGGACTTGTGCTCTGCTGCAGTTCCTTACCTCCTTGGTGGGCGCAGAGCCAGTTGAAAAATGCGAGACCCCTGGTTCGAAAAGCGGGCGGTGCTATTAAACACAACAGATTTTCCTTTTATTTGCAGTGTATCTCAACTTTTCATAGCGTTTTGTAGGTGCTATTTACAATACTCTAAAGAAAGGAAAATTAAAAATTTCAATTATTATCCTGAATCTTACCATCCCTTTTCACATTGCGCAATGCCGCTTTTAAACACGGATATAGGCGCATTGAACTCACATGTGCAATCACACAAATCACACCCTTTGTATTCAAGACCTAATACATGCCTGTGCGTTTAGTTCTTATCAGAACCATGACAAATGCTACACAAAAGTAACAACTGTTTTCAATGCACTTCCTTTCCTGCACCTGCCGCCCCAGTGCCTTCCACCCGAGGCTTCCAGATGAGCAAGGAAGGATGGAAAGGAAGGAACCGTCCCCTTCCCTGCTGTATCACCACGGCCAGTTCAGCCCGAGGGCTGTTTCAGCCCGCTACACGGGAGGAGCAGGAAGCAGTGCGAGACAGAATACGGCAGGGCCCCTTGCTTGGTAGCGATTTTAGGGCCCCATTGTCTTCATCACGTGCTTGAAGCAAGTTCAGGCTCCAGGGGAAGAGGAGGCCTCCCAGGGCTGTCTCTCGGCTGTAGAAGCAGCAGGGTACCCTGTGCCCACGTTCTGTTCTGATATGAACAGGACACACAGGCACGTAGTAGGTATTTAATACAAATGGTGTGATTTCTCTGATTTGGCCTGTGAAGGAAAGGCGTTTATATTTGTGTTTAAAACTGGCTTTGCACAGCATAGAAATGGATGGTAACACTCAGGCTAATAATTTAAATTTTTTGCTTAATGAACAGTTTCCATGTGGAAATCATCGTAGTTAGCCATTCTTGGGATGGAACATAAAAATTTAAAAAATCACTACAACAGTCCCTCAGAGCGTTGACAATATTACACAGGCAGGTGCCCAAAGAGCTAGAATAACTCGAGAATAAAGCGACGCAGTGTCGTCGATCATACAAAGACTGAAGACGAAGTGAATCTGAGATCACCTGGCATCGCTCTGAGGGGCAGGAGTGGGAATGCCCGTCTCCTAATGCCGGCTCCCAGCCCACGTTGGGTAAAGAAAGATCAAGTGGGCTCCATCGCCCAGAAATGGGATCCTCTAAAGAGAAAAATGATCCTTGTTAAGCTTTGGCAGGTACGTGGGCTGCTGAAAGCTGAGGCCTGCAGTTAGACCGTCCGTGGCCCAGTGGGGCTTCGGAAAGAGGAGCCCACCTTAGAGGTGGGGTCTGGGGATGTGAGAGGACCTAACTGTTCTCTCACAGATGCCAGGACTCGGGGATTGGAGGCTGGAGCTAACAAGGGGGAGAAGGCAGCCTTGGGGGAGAAGGGAAGCGATTTGCGGGGGGGGGGGGGGGGGGGGGACGAGGAGAGTGGCCAGCAGCCGCCAGGCCTCAGACGCGACCCTGGCCTGGGTTCAGAGACCCCGCGCGGCAGTCGGGGGCTGTGGGGTCCCAGGGCTGTGCGGGCTGGCGGTCCGTGTTGGGCTGCTGCCTTGCGGCGCTGCCTGCGTCTTCACCCCCCCGCGCCCCCCCCCACCCCCGCCAACAGTAGCCCGGCGAAGGGAGGGGGCGCGACCAGGGCAGAGCCGTGGCAGGGCGGGCATTTCAGGAGGTGGGTTCGGAAGGGGAGGCCTTTCCAGAAGCAGGGCGCCGCCAGGGGAGGCTCAGCGCCGGGGAAGCTGGGTTTTGGGGGCGGGGCGGAGGGGAGGTGCGGGCGCCTGCGGCCTCAGGAGGCGGGCCGCACGTGCGCCTCCAGCCTCGCTGCCAGTGCCGCTGCAGCTCCTCTCTGAGCTCTTGATAGAGACGAACCGACGAACCGACCTACGGGAGGCTGGGAATCGGAGCGCGGGGGATTCGGAGCCCTGGAATTTCACCTGGTTTCTAAGAATCCCACTAAAAAACTGTTAGAACTAACGGACAGGTTAAGCAAGGTTGCAGGATAGATCAACAGACACAATCGTTTCCATTCGTATACAGTAACAATGAATAAACTGAAATTAAGAAAACAGCTTTATTTACAATAGCATCAAAAGAATAAAATACGAATAAATTTAACAAAAGACGGGCACACTGTGTACTCTGAAAAACTATAAAACAATTGTTCAAAGAAATTCAAGACCTACAGACATGGAAATACATTCCTTGTTCGTGAATTGGAAGATTTTTCTATTACGACGGCAATATTACATTCCGATTTAGTGCAATTCCTATCAAAAGCACAGCTGGCTTCTTTGCAGTTATTGACAAATCATAAAATTCCTATGAAAATTCAGAGGCACAGAACAGGCAACACCATCCTGAAAACAGTGAAACTCACACTTTCCATCTCAGTCCAAACTGAACTACATAGTACAGGGTAGATATGTAGCCCAAGAGTAGACATATAGAGCGATGGAATGTATTGAGAGTCCAGAGAAAACCTTGCATTTACAGTCAAAGGATTTTCAACTAAAATGCCAACTCCATTCCAGGGGGAAAGAATAGTCTTTTTAACAGAAGGTACCAGAATGACTAAGCTATTGATATGCAAAAGAAGGAAGTTGGACCCCTCTCTTCGGCCACAGAGCATAATGAACTCAAGTCGCATCGTCCCTTTCAGGTAGGAGCTAAAACTATAAAACCATGGGAAGAAAGCGTAGGCTACATCTTCACGACCTGCAATTAGGCGCTGGTTTCCTAAATATGACCCCAAAGGCACAGCAACAAAAGAAAAAGAGTCAAGAAATTGGGACGTGTGTAAAATAAAAAAAAACTTCTGTGCTTCAAAGGATGCCAGCGAGAAAGCAAGAAGACCACCCCAGAAAGGGAGAAAAGCTTGCAAATCACGTCTTGGACAAGGGACTTGGATTTAGAATAAATAAATGATGCTTACAACACTAAAACAGAGAGACAAGTCATCCAATTTAAAAATGGGCAAAGGACTTCATTATTTCCCCAAAGAAGAAGTGCACGTGGCCGAGGAGCGCGTGGAGTGACTCGGAGCAACGGTGGGTGCCCAGGGGGATGTGCGGGGTTGGAGGCCTCACGCCCTGGGGGTGGGGCGGGGGGCGGGGCGGGCACGTGGGGTGCAGCTCCGGTGTGGTGCTGAACAGCCGGGAGGCTCTTCCAAGTTGAAACAGAAAGGTGTCACGTCACCCAGAAATTGTACCCTTAGGAGTGTAGCCAAGAGAAACGAAAGTATGCCAAAATAAAATCTTGTACACAGATGTTCATAGCAGCATTATTTATCACAGCCCCGAAGTGAAAATGACCCCAATGTCTGTCCATTGACAGAGATGATAAACTGCTCTGTCCGTGCCGTGGAGTATGACTTGGCAATGAAAACATGAAATACTGACACACGCTACATCGATGGATCCCCAAGTCCTTGCTGAGTGAAATAAGCCAGTTGCAAATCATGAAATAGTGTAGGATTCCACTGATAAGTAGTATCCGGAATAGGCAACTCCATGGAGACAGAAAGTGGTTGGCAGGAGGCAGCGGAACGTGGGGCGACAGGTGGGCCCCGAGAAGCCGGGCCTGGGTGGGGTCGAGGGCCAAGCTGGGTCCAGCCGGCACGGGCCAGCCCTCCTCAGTGGCGAGGACCCAGGCGTCTGGCTTGGGGCGCAGAGTAACCGTTGGGCAGGGGAGCGGCCTCTGTTGCAGGTGGGAAGGCCAGGCGGGGGGAGGGGGAACCCGTTGTTCATGTCCCAGCATCACACTCTCGGCAGGTGGAGGAGCCGGCAGAACCGCAGAGGAGCCGGGATTCTGGGGGTGCTGCCCGGACGGGGGCCGGGGCCAGGGAGGCAGGTCTCAGGGGCCGTGTACCACTGGGCCGGTGATTGGAAGGACATTTGTGTCTCTGACTGGCAACTCTCCAATGAAGCTCCTGGCAAAGCTACCCTGTGGGTGGCAGGGCAGGTGAGGGGCCACGTTGGAAAGCCCACGGGAGCCGCGCCGCAGCCTGGGCCGCTGCGTGGAGGCCAACCCCAGAAGTCGTCCTGGGAGAGCCGTTACACGAGGGGAAATAAACCAGAGCGTAGCAGGGCGCAGCGCCGGGAAGGCAGCGGCAGACACGCTGACACCGGCCTGAACGTGCAAGTGGGGAGAGATGCCCCGTGTCGTTGCCGGGCACAGGGGTGTTTTGAAGCCATTAAATCCATTAAATCCATAAACATAAAGTGTGTGAGAAGTGGTCTTCCTGAAATAACGTTAAGAAAAAACATGGACAATAATATTGCGCATGTT